AAATTGCCTCTATGGTTGTGCCCATAACGTGTTTGTCGAAATGCCTCAAAGAGGCTAGTTTTTGCTTTGCTGTTGCGCTAGCGTGTTTTTTTTTAAATTCCTCGCCAAAACGACGTCATTTTGGACGAGGTCAAAAATAAATAAATAAACAAAAAACTTAATTAGTAAAGAACCCTTAACGTCGACGGAATAGGGTCATCAAATCCAAGTTTGAAGATGCTTAATTAAGCCTTCCCACCGTCCACTTCAAATGTAATCCATAAACTAGGAATTAGATTTTTGGATTGAGAGAGGTCTTCCCACCGTCCACCCCTTATCTTAAAATACTTGTAAGACTTCATATGACTACATAGTTAATCCAATATCACTATATATAACATGGTGAATATCACTAATTATTTTGTCACCTTTGATGATGCTGGTTTAATTTGACTATTTTTCGTGCAGGTGTGGAGTTATGAAATACACGAGCTATCGCCGATATGTGCAAAGCCGGGGTTATAATATACCATGGAGCAATGGTTGATGCGTCTCTTCAAACATGCCAGATGAAAACCCGTCTCTAGCTATCTCAATTTCCCTTCCACCACCTATAAAATTAAGAGTGACAATTTTCCCAATCTTGTTTCTATTCTCCCTCCCACCTTTCAAATGATTGCATTTACATGATTTTTATTTTCTGAAAATTACTTTTAAAAGGTCATATATATATCCAATTTCATTTTTTTTTCTTTAAATACAAACCCATATATGACTGATGTATATGGTGTTGAAACTTGAAATCAGGGAAGGCAAAGGAATGAAAATCTTGTAAGTGTGATTTTCAGCATGTAAATCCATCGTTGGATCATCAAATTTGCCAAGTGAAAAGATTTTGTACTGACAATCGGATAAAATTCAAAACCATATCAGTAAATAGCCATATCTATATTGTTTGGAGGGCCATGGATGATTCACAAATCAAATGTACTTGATTTTTTTTAGGTTTAATATCACAAAACGTCCGTAAAGTTTACGAAACTATCAGATTGCATCCTTAATGTTTTTTTTGTGTCACTCATGGTCCTCAAGGTTAGTATGTGCGATCACAAATGGTCCATGCCGTTAGGTTCCGTCAAAAACTCCGTTAGTTTGCTGATGTGGCATATATATATATATATATTATAAAACATCCCTGAGGTTTCACACACCTATCACAAAATGGTCCCTACGAAATTTTTAAATTTTTAAATTTACCGGATTAGACTTCTCCCGACAAAAACTACCTCTGCCGAATTGTTTATTCCCTTTTCCCAGGTACAGAGAAAGCATGTCTATGAACTTAGACAGTCCATTTTAACTGGTGATAATGAAAGTTGTTCCCAGCACATATTCCAGTAAGTTTCTGAGTCTCACCAACTTCGCTCTCGCAGCCATCTAATTTATCACCCAAATATAGTAGCATTTTGTGTGTTACTTAAACTTCTTAATTAATAAACACTCACTATTGTAAACATTGTGTCAGTACTTCAAATGTATTGCTATATTTTGAACTAGAATACAGTACGTAATCAGTTTACAATAGCATGCTTGTTCGTACAGACACTTGGATATCGGGGAAAAATTCAAAGCAATAGACATCGAGAAAAATGGTTTTACCTGGTCTAAGGAAGATCGTTGATAACTAGTTTAACTTTTAAACCTCTCTATGTTTGTAGTATTTAGCGATGTTACAAATAAATTTAGAAAGTGTGGCCCAGAATGCAAAACTGAGTCATATCACCTAAAGGTAGCTGAGAGGATCAGTATATATTACAATCTGAAGCATAGGAAAATTGAGGTTGCAAAGTGTGACAACATCCAAAACAAATTATCAATGTATGAATGCCTTTGTGTTAAAAATAAATAGACAGTGTATATTAGTAAGCATGCCTTTGTATTACTGATTGCTGCGACCATATCTTGCTTGGCCTGTTTTTCAAATAGGATGTTGTATACTGCTGTCCACTAATTCATCTTACTGATTCCCTACTGCTTAATAGCATCCAAGAAATTGGAGTTTGGGTAAGCTTTTGAAGGAGTTTATGACAATTTCTGGGAAACTACTGGATGGTGAGCTGATACATTATTATCCTTGTCCTGCATTTCCTGGTTTGTTTGACATAACTTCTCATGGAATGGATATTCTCCAGATTCATTTGCAGGAATGACAGAGGAGGCTTTATTAAAATCTCTTGCACACTCACATGAACTAAACTCTATACATCTTGATGACATTCACCTTCCAAACTTGCCAAGACCGCCAAAGGCCTTCAGAGGAATCCGCAAGAAGAGCTCTTCATTGAAACGTTGGCTTGCTAATGCACGACTAAACCATGACATTCAGCCACTAACCATGACTCCATGATAACTTGGACTCTCCGAATTAAGTAGCAACTAAACAACCGAGTCCCTAAACAATAGGACTTCCACAACTTAACAAGATAATCATAAACCTAATAAATAGAATAATAAATATTCTTTACAAAGCAGCGGCAAAGCACCCAAGAGGCTGTAGTTGCAGGCTTGCAGCAATCACACCAAGTAAGAAGCATTGAATTTCCATCTATATATTATTGTCTTTAAAATTTAAATAAAATTATACCAAAACAAAACGGCATGAAATATATGTCATCGGATATAGGATCCATTAATTAAAGCGCTGAACAAGAGGGCGGTTTATTTGGGCGGAGCTAGGCGGGTCTGGGTAGCGCTAGGCGGGTCTAGGCGGAGCTAGGCGGCTCTAGGGGGCTCTAGGCGGGTCTGGTTCTTTTCTTTTGTTCTTTAAGCCTACTGCCTAGGGATTTTCAAACTTATGCACTGCAGGGCTGGTCTAGGCGTCGCTGGGAGGGTCTGGGCTGGTCTGAGCGGCGCTGGGAGGGTATGGGAGGCGCTAGGCAGGTTTGGGCAGAGCTAGGCGGGTCTAGGCGGGTCTGGGTGCCAGGGTGGGTCTGGTTCTTTTCTTTTGTTCTTTAAGCCTACTGCCTAGCGATTTTTCAAACTTATGCACTGCAGGGCTGGTCTAGGCGGCACTGGGAGCGTTTGGGCGGAGCTAGGCTGGTCTGGACGGCACTGGGAGGGTCTGCGAGGCGCTAGGCAGGTCTGGGCGGAGCTAGGCGGCGCTAGGCGGGTCTGGGTGCCAGGTGGGTCTGGTTCTTTAGGGTTTAGGGTCTGGGTGCCAGGGTGGGTCTGGATCTTTTCTTTTGTTCTTTAATCCTACCTCCTGGCCATTTTTCAAACTTCATCTATCTTTGCTGAGGCCTTGTGCATTAACTGAGGAGCCCGACTTATGTCCCTTAATTGTGTACTGTGTGCTGTGGCTGTAATTTCAAAACTGTACACATCCCCACTTGTTGAAAGCATTCCCTCATGTTGCAGTTGCCTAAATCAACAATTTCAAGCTTTGTTGAGAGATTCCCAAAGAAAACAGGAAGCGTGGCATTTAATGGATTACCTTCCAAGCTGATCATCGACAAATTTCTAAGACTAGCCAAGAATTTGTTTATCATGGATAAATTAAAGATTCTGGATGGGATGACACCATTGAGATTATTAACATGGAGTGCCATGTGTGGATCGCCAATCTCATCTGGTATTTCACCTGCCACATGCAATAAACCCGAGCACCCAAGTTTAATCTCATCTGGCCGGCTTGAACAATATCACCTTCTAGGGCATTCCGCTGCACAAACAACTTCTCTAACTGATCTAAACTGCTGATCTCGTTTGGAATTTCTGAAAAATTAACGTGTATAGATTTAACCCCATTATCATCAACCAGCCCCTAAGATTATATGTATAAGCTGTTGATGAATACTATATAATGCTCTGCAACAAAATGCCGAGTCGTATAAGAATAGCATACCTTTGAAATTGTTGGAGTCAAGATGCACCTCCTTGAGCATTGTTAAACATGGGCACATGCCACAGAAAAAGAAGAGAGAAGGAAAAACAAAAGAATTAACTAATGTTAAATGGTAATAATCAATTCCTAGATAGCTGTTTGTTGGCTCGTACCTGATACTGCCGAAATCAATCGTTCGCAATGCAGATAAGTTGAAGATAGCTGTGGGTATGGAACCTGAGAATTGATTATCATACAAGTCGAATGTTTGAAGTCATGAATTATGAGGAATATCAGTAGTTCTTGTCTTTAGAGTGGAATATCAGTACCAATACGAATACTAATACTAAACATGTTGGCCATAAATTAGTAGTTCTTGTCTTTAGAGTAACCGATCAATAAAGTATACATTCTTGAGATGGTAAACAATATTTTCTGTGTATTCAAGATAGTAGTAACTAATAAAGTAGAAGTTGTTGGTTGATTTGCATTGCTCTGATTTCTAAGCATATTAAACATCAGAAGCCAGAGAGTTTGACTATTAGACAGAGATAGGTAATCAGCAATGCATGTCCTCATTTTAATTAGTTGGATAGATCCATACAATTCTTTGTAACTCAAATCTTAGACATTCAAGATAAGCTACAAATGTAACTTGCCTACTTCTTTGGCAAAAGAAATATTATAACAATTCTTTGGAAGAAAAAATTTATAAGGCTTAATATCTCAAAACGTCCCTAAAGTTTACGAAACTATCATATTGCATCCTAAATGTTTTTTTGTGTCACTCATGGTCCTCAAGGTTAGTATGTGCGATCACAAATAGTCCATGCCATTAGGTTCCGTAAAAAACTCCGTTAGTTTGCTGATACAAAATGTTAGTAATTTTAAATTAATTAATACAAAATGTTAGTATAATTGATCTTATAATCCCATAAATTAATTTGTTGTTAGAAGTTTTTTCTTTTTGACAATTATATTTGAACTCAATTAATTTGTTATATATATGCTTAAGGTCGCATAAACTTGTTGAAGAAGCAGCCTGGTGGTAAAAGCTTGCGGCTCACATTGGCACAGAAATTCTCCAGAAGGTAAAGAACATACTTGGATTAGCTCCCATACAGATAAGGAGTGCAACATGTCACATGTGAATGTAACGCACGGCTTCCACTTGGTAACGGGAAAATTTGATCATGCTATGGAAGACTATGTTGTTTCACATTTTAAGCAAATTGATGATCATGATCAGCTAGGATTGTTTGCAGTATTTGATGGCCATCAGAGCTTTGAAATTCCTATATACTTGCAAGTTCATCTGTTCAAAAACACCATAAATGAGCCTGATTTCTGGAGAGATCCGGAGAGTGCAGTCAAGAGAGCATATCATGTAACCGACACTAATATACTGCAAAGTGATGATTTAAAAAAAGGAGGTGCAACTGCGGTTACGGCTATATTGTTCAACTGCCAGCAGAAGCTGGTGGTAGCCACTGTTGGGGATTCTCGTGCTGTTATCTGCAAGAATGGTGTGGCTAAACAACTATCTGTTGATCATGATCCAATCAAAGAAAAAGAAGAAATTGAAAAGAGAGATGGTTACGTATTAATCGTTCCAGGGAAACTTCCCCATGTCGGCGGGTGGTTGGCTGTGCTGTAGGAAGAGCATTTGGTGATTGAACATTAAAGAAACACATTAGTTGTGAACCTGATGTGGTGGTGGAGATGATTGACGAGGACACTGAGTTCGTTGTGTTGGCAAGTGATGGACTGTGGAATGTGACGTCTAACCAAGAAGTTGTTGATTCGATTAGAGGCATAAAGGATCCTCGAGCAGCAGCAAAGCACCTAACTGAAGAGGCCGTTAATAGGAAGAGTTTGGATGATATTTCTTGGATTTAATAGGAGTATAGCCGTGTATACTTAAAGTGTATAGCCGAGCGGCTATACTCGGTTTTATTTAAAAAAAAAAAGTATCGCCGAGCGGCTATACCATTTTTACACGTGGTGAAGCGGCGGAAGGAGCCAGGCGGGTCCTCTTTTTTTTATTTTATAAATAGTATAGCCGCCCGGCTATAATAGGATTTATAAAAAAAGAGTATAGCCGGCGGAGATACCACAATTTTTTAATTAAAAATAGTATAGCCGAAGGGCTAGACTATTTTCGTCACGTGCCATTGATGGGGTTTCTGAGGACCAATGTTGGGAGCAGAACCAGAGGGCGTGTTACATTCGAGCCCAATGTTTGTGAGGAAAAAAAACACCGCCATTGAAACCCAAGAGCCCTATTCTCCTAAAGTCATGTGCATGGGGCAGGTCCGAATCCGATGGTCCTCCAAGAAAGGCAGGTTTCCACTAAGAGCCCGGCGGACCGGAGCTCCGGCCTTACGACGGTGTAAATGGATCCAAAATGCCCTGCTTTGCAGCCATTTTGCAGGGAAAATCAAGCCCAAGTCTTTTGAACCCGTTTGGCCCAGGTGGGTACCGTTTTTTCAAGTGGGTTTTTGTAGGAAAGGCGAAATTAAAGAGGACTCCCGCCAAAGATTGAGTCGAAGTTTCAGATGGGGAAGATGAAGTTTCAGATGGCTATACTACGAATGCTGCTATTTCCACCCTTGTCCTGTTTTCCCACTCAATAAACCAAAACCCAAAAAATCTCTGCACACAGCGTGAGCTCAAATTCATCAACAATGGCAGTCACTAACGGCTCTCTGCAACAAACCCATCATCAACCAAACCCTGCTTTTCAATATCTATTCCAGCCTCATTCTCTCCCAGAACCCAAAACCAGATCAAGAGCCAGTCGAGTCCCTCTGCCGTTCATCACAGATAACTACATCATGGAGAGAGGACCGAGATACAAAGCCTAGGCGGAGTTCAGAGAATCAAAGCTGCGAAGGAAGTATCTGAGGCCAGAAGAGGCTAAGAACCTGAATTTAAACCACAGCTTGTTGAAGAAACAAGTCAAATTTCAAACCAATACGACCAAATCACGTAAAGGGTCCTCTGGCTAGGCTCAGTCAGTGCCTGATTTCTCCGCTGTGTTGAGAAAAGAGAACCGCAAGCCATCGTCAAGGCTTCCGTCGACACTTGAGATGACCTCGCCGGCGAAGTGTTGGTAAAAAGCGAATGGGGTTTTGTCGAATTCGAGAGGGAGTAAGTCGGGGACCGCAAGGGAGAAGAAGGACAACAATGGCGGAGGGTTGATGGCAAGGAAGAGTTATGCGAGTATGGAGGAACTGAAGCGGACGCTGGACGCCAGGCGCCAGGCGGGCCTCTTTTTTTTTTTATTATATAAAAATAGTCTAGCCGCTCGGCTATACTATTTTTGACACGTGGGCACCGGGCCCAGGCGCCAGCAGCTGGTCTTTTTTATTATAGTATAGCCGCATGGCTATAAAAGGAGTTTTTTTTAAATTAAAAATAGTATAGCCGTCCGGCTATAATTGTTTTGACAAGTGGCGAAGCGGCGCTAGGCGCCCAGCAGGTGTCCTTTTTTATTATAAATAGTATAGCCTAGCGGCTATAGGCGGGGCTTTTTTTTTTTTTTTTTATTTCTCTTTTTCTTTTGCTAAGTAAAGAAGTCGACAACATATGGAGTAGCTGATTCCTAGCGTACACCCTCAAAAGGAGTACTTGACTCCTAGAGGCGCGTAGGAACCTTATAAACCAAAATTCAGATCCTAAGCTTAGATCTGGCTGAATGGAGCATGACACAGCTAATAAGTGATAATTTAAGCCCTCATTTTGGGTGTTTTAGTGAAACTCCTTTTTTTTAATTAAAAAACAGTATAACCGCGCGGCTATACGCGGGGCATTTTTTAAAAACAAGTATAGCCGCCCGGCGATACTACGGTTTTTATTATAAAAAAATAAAAGTAAGAAGGATCGAGTAATTAGTCAAATTAATTAAATCATAGTGGCCAGAAGGTTGGGTGTATTAAAGTCTATAAAACCGTTCTCTAATATAATCTTGGTCTACATGCTTAAAATGTGAAACCTTTGCTAAAAAGCTTCCCTAGCTATACAAACTATTTTTCCAGAATAGAAATTGAAATAGACATATCACCATACCAATTTTTTTAATTTTAATTTTGCATTTAATTCCAATGTGTTACGCAGGCAAATATATCAACGAGCTAACTTCCATCATTCTTCAAGAACAAGAAATTGAAATCCTTTACATAGTAATTTCAATGTGTCACACAATAGTTTAGTTCGAATTAAAGACGCATTAATTCCAATAAATAATCAGCACTGCATTAATTGAATGGAAAAAATTTGATCCAAATATGCGTGATTTAATTCATCGCCCATAGCTATTAATACATGTCAAGCAATTTGTGCACAAGTACATGGGGTGGCACCGCATTGGAAAAGTGGGCCAAACTCTCCCCCTCCCCTCCCCAACTGCACCCGTATGATACTTCCCCCTCTCTTCCCTAGCGAATGACAAAAGAAAGAAAAAGCAATTTGTGCACAAGTAATCCCCTCTTTTGAGTGATCCAGGATTATTTTGGACAATCCTTGTTAAGATGACCTATACTTATACCATTTTAAAATACTTAAATTTTTAGGTAATTAGCTCAAAATATCTAGTGCTCTCAACACGTTAAACTTTTTATAGTATCAAGATTTTCAAAAATTCGACATTGGTCCAGTTTTTAATTATTTTTAATCACTATGATCAGTTTTTGTGGGAGGTTGGTAAATGAAAAATTGTTGCCTTAGTTCATTTGAATTTGTAAGAACTAAGCCACTATGTATGTTATGGGCCACGTCAAAAATCACAAAGCTGATGATGAAGAATATTAATTGGAGTGGGTGATGAAACAATTGTTCATCTAAACATTTAGACACTTCCTTCTTCAGCAAGTATGGGAGAGATTTAATCTCAACCGTTCATTTCAACCATAAAGCATCTATAAATTGAGTCCTTTGTTCATTGGAAGAACATGTACTCACTGAGAGCTCGAGTGAAATCTTTTTTAGCAATTGTTTGAAAATCTCTTGGTAAGATTTTTGGCCTTTCTTCTAGTTTCATTTCCTTTTTCTCGATATTCTTCAAGGCTGAGCTAGTGAGCTTTAGAGAGAGTTTTGAAGCGCTTCAATTTAAGCATAGTGCTCCTATACCATCAAAAGTACATTAAAATTGATCTACATTACCACGTAACATGCGTATACGTACGTGCATTAATTTGTCAACTTCTAATTACTAACACTAGCTATTCTATGTTTGTACAGGTGATCTTAATCTGCAGAATGGCTATTCTAGGTTGTGGAGTATTGCTATCCCTTGCTTTGCTAAGTTTGAGTATTGGAATTAACTTGTGCCTCTCTGAAAATGGAAAAGAAATAGATTTCAGTGCTCATGGTGAAAATGCCTCTCCAAGTACCACTAAGAAGGATAAGGGAAAAAGATGGGCAGTTCTAATTGCCGGGTCAAATGGTTACTACAACTATAGGCATCAGGTTTAAATTTGTCCAAATTTCATCATTGAGTATTAGTATCAAAGATTATGTTATGTTACTAATAGTACATTTAATTGTTTTTCCATGCAGGCTGATATATGCCATGCATACCAGATACTGAAAAAAGGTGGACTGAAAGATGAGAACATCATTGTTTTCATGTATGATGACATTGCACACGACCCTGAAAACCCTAGACAAGGTGTCATCATCAACAAGCCAAAGGGACGTGATGTTTACAAAGGAGTTCCCAAGGTTTAATTTTTCTATTCGATTTTAGTTTCGAACTAGTTTTGTTAGATTAACATTGTTTTAACTGTAATGCAATTTTTTTTGTCTTTCGTGCAGGATTATACAGGGACAGATGTTAACTCAAAAAATTTCTATGCTGTTATTCTTGGAAACAAAAAGAACCTCACTGGAGGTAGCGGCAAGGTTTTGAAAAGTGGTCCAAATGACCATGTTTTCATCTATTATGCAGACCATGGTTCTGCAGGATTACTTGGTTAGTGGCTTATTTTAATTAACTTTCAAAATATTTTGTTAATGAAATTAAATTGTATGTAATATGATCTTATTAGAATCCCATAAATTTAGTAAAAGTTTTTTCTTTTGTTTCTGGAGTTACATTTGTAATAACAAAGGAATAAACATGCACATGATCCAATCAAGGAAGAACCAACTCTTGTTTTCTGTAGAAGTTATTCTTAATTGAAAGAATAGGGAACAGGGTAACATTTCTGTGAAATTAGACATTGTGGTTACGTGTGAGTGGTATTTTGTATCCAGGGATGCCTAGTGAGTATGATGCTGTTTATGCTAAAGATCTTATCCAAGTGCTAAAGAAGAAGCATGCTTCTAACGGTTTCAAAAGCATGGTAAGATTAAATTCCATTTCAACAGCAATTGATAAGGTTGTAGCCTTGCTACAGTTTACAACTATCAATCTTTGCTGAATATCAGTACTTTCTAAGGCTTTTATGCAATTATTTAAAAAACATATATCAGGTATTCTACATCGAAGCTTGCGAGTCGGGGAGCATATTTGAGGGCCTCCTTCCAAATAAAATGAATATTTATGCTACAACCGCAGCAAATGCAGAAGAGAGTAGTTATGGGACATATTGTCCAGGTGAAGCTGAAGTTCCTGAGGAGTATGATACCTGCTTGGGAGACTTGTATAGTATTTCCTGGTTGGAGGATTGGTAATGCAATGCTGTCCTTTATTAAGATGCTTTTATACAGAGTACATTACTTTATCAGTTTCCAATATATTTTGAATCAAAGGCTCGCACTAATTACTTTGTTGTTTCAATGAATTTGGAACGTATTGTGACATTTGAGAGCAGTGACAGCAATGATTTGCGCAAAGAAACTTTGGAGAAGCAATATGAAAGGGTAAAATATTAAAAACTTCTCACAGTTTTAGATATTTATGGAGCTTTCATTACAATAGATGAAATATTTTGAAAATGCTTGTTAGATGCAGAGCATGAAGTATATGTATAATGCCAAGGAAAATTAGAATAATATGGCCATCTCAACTAAATTACAGGTTCGAAGAAGAACAAATGAGTCTCATGTTATGCAGTATGGAGATATGAGCCACAGGAAGGAGTTCCTCTTCACTTACATGGGTGCAGATCTTGTGAATGATAGCTATACTTCCATCGGCGATATCTCTTCACCCTCAAGGGCTGTTAACCAACGTGACACAAAACTCCTTTATTTTCAGCACAAGGTTTCAGCTCTTAAATTATTATGAGTCATAAACTTGAATGTTCTTTAACTTGCACAAATTTTCATATATTTTGCTAATATAATTCTGTATTCTAAGTGTTTCTTCTTATATCTAGAAAGCATTTCTGTTTATTCTTCAGTTCCTCAGAGCTCCTGCCGGCTCTCATGCAAAACTGGAAGCTCGAAAGCAGCTGCTTAATGAAATTGCTCATAGGAAACATGTGGACTATAGCATCCATAAAATAGGGGAGCTTTTGTTTGGACACCAGAAGAGCTCAAACATGCTGATGAACGTTAGGCCTCGGGGACAACCTGTAGTAGATGATTGGGACTGCTACAAGAAGTTTGTAAGTCCTCCTGTAATTCCATACATCAAATTAATACAGACACACAAGTTTTTGTGCTTGTCTATCTAATTCTTTAATTAAAGTAAACCAGTAAATTTTATCTCTGAGATATTGATTTTGAGTTCTATCCATGCAGCTGAGGATTTATAAGAAGTACTGTGGACATTTATCAACATATGGAATGAAATACGCGCGAGCTATAGCCAACATATGCAATGCTGGGGTAACCATGGAGAAAATGGTTGCAGCTTCTGATCAAGCTTGTTCCAAAAAACCCTTTGTCTAGAACTTCCTTTTCTGATCAGCTGAAGAAATAAAAGGTTATGTATATGAAATTTATGTTGGTCTAATGGGGTTGATGTTACAACAGTCTTCGTATGAAAATAAGAAATGAAAATTAATAAAAAATGTTTCAAAAATGTGATGCCAACTGTGGATCTGTAAAATCTAGCATTTAAACATATGTTACATTTCTGTGTCGGATAATACCTTTGCTAGCCGTTAGTTGCTAATTAATGCTCTTTCAAGGCTAATCATATGAACCAACCTCTATATTGAAAGATGACTAAATAGCGAAAAAGTTCATCACTCTGTAGCCGACCAAGATCTTTATCAGTTCAGCAGCCAGTACAAGCTCTCAAGCTAAGAGCCTACTGATGTTTTCATTATCGTTCGCGAACACGTTTGGCAACAAAAGAAACAAGTACTTAAGGAATTCGATCAAGAAAACACGGAGACTCTGCAACCCAGATTAAATTATTAGACTTTTATCAAACGAACACATGTATCTTGTATCCACTTTTTCCTTATTAGAAAAGGTAACTCAACTTCTGAACAAATTGCTGTATTTCAAATGACTAAATAGAAGGTTCAAAGGATTTAACCAATAGAACATCAACTAAACATTTATATTTGAAATCTCACATTTCAATTGATGGACCCTTAAGAATAACTTTTGCATTGTCACAAATTTTGTTGCCTGATTTCATCCTATAATTTTGTATATACTATTAACTTTATAACATGTTTCTTAACAAAACTTCACCAAGTAGACCTTATCCCTTCAGTCACAGAACTTCATCTCCAAGTAGACCTTATGCATATATTTGTTCGCGTCACATATCATATATTGGCTGTTACACATCAATTACTTTACTCATCTAGTGACTAATTTCAATGTGTGACTGAACGTCGGTGCGAAGAAGACACATAACAATATATACGTATATAATATAATAAATTCATTAAACAAATGGAACAAATTATCCAAATAAGCATAAAGTAACCTCAGGATTAGTTGAAATGTGGAGAAAATACATTAGTAGCATCTCACAGACTCACAATATTACTAATTAAGACAATAAAACATCCAACTTAATTTGTTTAATTTCTAAACTAAGAAAGGGCGATGGACTGTAGCCAAGGATCCTCTATTCTTTTCCTTCCTTTTTCTTAATTTTTTAATTTTTTAATACTCATATTCTCCTGTTCTTTTAACTTTCATGCATGAGATTTTATTTATTTTATATTTTTTAAAATGGGCTGCTAACTATGTAGTATATCTACTCACTTCCTTGTTTAGCATATATAGAAGATTTAATCTGAGCCGTTCATTTCAACCACAGAACTCTACAAATAGAGTACTTTGCAACTTTGCAGAGACATTGTGAAAATCACTTGGTAAGAGGTTTGGTCTTCCACATTAAATATTATCTCCTAGTTCATCTCCTTAATCATTCATCAAGGCTGCTTTGTACATTAACTATTTGTTAACTTCTAATTAAGCCTAAATTGTGTTTCTGCAGATCACCTTGTATAATCTGCACTGCAGAATGGCTAGGCAAAGTTGTGGAGCATTGATATTTCTTGCTTGTTTTAAGTTTGACTGCTGGAAGCTTGTGCCTCCCTGTCAATGCAATACACATAGACTCTATTACTCATGGTGATGATGGCTCTCCAAGTACCACCCAGGATAATGGAAAAAAATATGCTGTTCTAGTTGCCAGGTCTAATGGTTACGGAAATTATAGGCACCAGGTTTAAGTTCGTCCAAATTTCATTATATAATATCAAGTGACCTTATCTTCGTTTATATAATTTTTGAAAAATGCAGGCTAATGTATGCCATGCATACCAAATACTGAAGAAAGGTGGACTGAAAGATGAGAACATCATTGTTTTCATGTATGATGATATTGTGTTCAACCCGGAAAATCCTAGACAAGGTGTCATCATCAACAAACCAAAAGGCCATGATGTTTATAAAGGAGTTCCCAAGGTTTATTTTATTTTTCTCAATTGGACTTCAGTTTCTAGCTGGTTTGTTAATAAGTTTAACATCCTTTAAACTGTAAGGTAACTTATTTTTTTATGCAGGATTATACAGGGGATGATGTTAATGCAGACAATCTTTATGCTGTTATTCTTGGAAACAAAAGTACCCTCAGTGGTAGTCGGAAGGTTCTGCATAGCGGTCCAAATGACCATATTTTCATATATTACACTGACCATGGTGCTGCAGGATTACTTGGTAAGTAACTTTGTATTAATGAAAATTGTATGCAACATGAGTTTCTTTCTTTTTCCAATTGAAATATTTTAACAAAGCAATAAGCATGCAGATCATAGTATGCAGGAAAAGAAAGTGGAAGTTTTTCTTATATTATAGTCTAGACTCACATTTCTATTAAATTATATAGTGCATATTACAGATGTTGTTATATTTACATTCAGGGATGCCTACTGGTACTCCTTCGGTTTTCGCAATAGACCTCATAGATGTGCTCAAGAAGAAGCATGCTGCTAAATGTTACAAAAGCATGGTAGGAATTTCCACTTCATCAGTAATTAATGTATAATCCATCCTCACTGAAGTTTTCGAATATTTTTTTGGGTGTACTTCTGCACTTATTAAGGTTTTATGAATTTGTTACACAAAATAGGTATTTTACCTTGAAGCTTGTGAGTCTGGGAGTATATTTGAAGGCCTCCTTCCAAAGAATGTAAGTATTTATGCTACTACATCAGCAAATGCAGAAGAGGATGGTTATGCAACATACTGTCCTGGTCAACCTGGTATTC